AAAATAAGTACTAGGTGAAAAAAAATTCTATAATAGGGCAAAATCAAATGACATACTACTTAATGTAGGAGCCATGAAAGTGGTACGCAGGAGTTCAGAAAATAAAAAAAAATAAAACCGATTACCTACATCTGTAATAACAGAGAACAACATCATGGAAATATGTTACTAAAAAACAGGTAACTCATTTCTTGTTTTATTATGATAGAGCACATAGCTTTCTGCAACTATCCTTCCCTTCTAGAAAATCATTCCAAACAAGGAAAATAAAAGAAAGAAACACAAAGTCTGTCTTTCATAAAGCTGAGACAGCTAAACCCAAATCCAAATGATAGGAAGATAAAAAAAAAAAGGGAAGAAATAAATCAGTGAAAAAAATAAGACAAGAAGGAAAGCGTAATCAAAATGCATAATTTTACTCAGCAGTACATAGTACTTGCTATACAATACAATGAAACAACAAAAGTGAACTGAATTCCAACTTATAAAATAAAATATATTGGAAGGATGAAGGTAAATGATAGACTAAACAGTGCCAATAACATGTTCACAGTAAAACATCAATTATAATGTCCAAAAGGCTAAATTTTAGATAATTTATATATAGTACTGATGTTAATAAGTGTTAACATAAATGTGTTTGAACACAGGCATAACCAAAGACTGTCTATAGGTAGTAAGTTATTTTGTAAAATAATGTGACACTGTTTCAGGGGAGGTAATATTTTACACGAAGTAAAAGGCACATACCCTAAAATATCCCACTTTGGTGAATTCTTCCTAAGAAAACATCTAATAATTTGCAGAGAAATTCCCTTGTCTAAAAAATGTAGCTAAAAATACTAGCTGAAAATATTAAGAAGTCAGAAACAGAATTTTTTTTTCCAAAAGAAAAATAAATAGGTAACAAAGCATTAACACAACTGGGTACTGTGTAGCCAAAAAAGCTTTTCTGGGGGTGGGGCATACCCTGCTGTGCTCCGGGCTTATTTCTGGCTCTAGTGGCCAGGAATCACTCCTGGTGGGCTCAGGGGACAATATGGGGCGCTAGCTGAACCCAGGCCAGTCGCATGCAAGGCAAGTAGCCTACCTACTGTATTATTGCTCTGACCCTCAGCAAAAGAGATTGTAATGGAAGGCGTAAAATCATGAACACAGCAGCAAAAGAATATAAAATGAAATTCAGGCATGGATTGGGAAAAAAAAAGGAAAACAATACTAACAGTGCAATGCAAATAATTTAATTAGAATGTAACTGAGAATAAACAATGGAAAGTAAATTTCTATGATATAGATATACACTGCTAAACTATTCATTTGAATAGTTTTGTGAAATTATGAATATGACATGTTTTTGAGCCCAAAGACTTAGGGAGTAGTATACACAGTCAATCTTTTTATCTACTACCTCACACTTCTTAGTATCTTAGGCATCTATCTATAAAGCTGGAACAACAAAGCTGAAATAATATATTTCAAAGCCCTTTTAGAAAATGTAAACAAAATGTATGTAAAACACCAGAAACATCTGTATTACAGTACATATGAAATTTTGTTTGTTGTAATATTAAGATACTATAAAGCATTACTTTGAAAGAAACGCAGAAGTATAAAGGTGCTGCTGTTAAAGATTTTCATGGTGCTTATTTCCAAGTAACTGCCTTAGTTATATACATCAACAGGCAAGTACTATGGTAGGTGCATTCTTCAGTGGAGTAGCACATTCCAGCCAAACCTGTATTTGAGAATGTAATGATATACTGCCTCTTACTGTTTCACAAGAGAATTGACTGTCCCGTGATACCATAAACTAAAATTATTTAAATAACAGAATTTATGCTGCAGCTTCATTTATGTCATTAGCAGCCTTCATAGCTTATAAAATGTTTTTGTTCTACTAATTCCAGTGATTAGAGTGGCCGTTTAGGTGTGGACCATCCTGTTTAATTAAAAAAATTACTTGGCCACAACTACAAAAACAAAGAAACTAAAACTCATCTTTTAGTTTACATCTAGTGGCATTTCACTTTTTATCTCACCACTTCCTCTTTTTGTCATTTATCTGTTATAAATGTTACCAACAACTAGACATTTTCATTTACTCATTTCATAGTTCAAATACATGAAGAGGCCTTTATAATCACAAAGTGTAAACTAAGTAAAATTATTTGAAAGAGAATAGGTTATAGAACCCAAAATTAAGTATTAACTTTCTAGAATTATGGCCAATCTATGCACCAGTATCATTTTATATTCATAAACCTTAACTACAAAAGTCCAAGTTTATTATCATTAAGTTAAAACACATTCTACTTATTCAAGAGTATGCTTCTTAACTGCATGTGGAAAGTTAAACAAGTTAACAATGTACTAATTGCCAAAGAAAATAAAACAAAACAAACTAAATTTTTTTTGGCAGGGTTACTTACTAATTAAGGTATAATATTCTAAGGAAAGTTACCATAGAATCTAATCTAAAAATTATCTTTGTAAATATCTTGAAGGTGGAAGCGTGGATTTGGACTTTTTTTTTTTACAAATTTCTATTATTCTAAAAGATAAAAACTTTACTGAAGGTCCATTATACAAAATATACTTGAACATATTTAAGTAGTGCCTACTAATGAAAATAATTTTCAGCATTCAATTTACCACTAGAGGGAGCTTATCTTATTTAGTAAATTCAATTGAAGACTGGAGAATTTCAGGTCAAAATTATGCCACTTAATTACAAAATCTTTGGAAACTATATATTTAAACAGCCATTTTATTAACAATCCAATAATTACTCTACAATCTGTTTTCTCTTTAAATAAATGACCACCACTTAATGGGTCAAAGATCTCAGTAACATAGAGCATTTTCAGATCAAACAAGATATGATTTTGCCATGATGTAAACATATTTTATGCTAAATTAGCCTAAGTTATCTCTGAACTCATATTAAACGGAACTGCAGATTTAACCACTACATTCCTAAATTGAGCCTTAACTGACTACTTACATAAACTAAGCACTTCTCATTTAGATAAAACTTAATACACAATTTTATTTGAATCTGTAAATGCCAGTATTGGGTTTTTATTACGGAGTCAGTTATTGATATTCTATGAGGAATAATTAGAAGACAGTAAGGAGCTCGATTAAGATGCGAAAAACACCTATGTTAAATTGAGAGTAAATGTGAAAAATGCACACTTACAGGGCATTCTTAGATTACTAAATACACACGTTCATTTCAAGAAGTATACTGAAAATTTGAGATAACATAATGGATACAACTTTATATAAATAAAAGGCATATATATTATGCATACAAAAAATTTAATAAACGTTAACTGGAAGCCAAAAATGTTAAAATTTCACAATGAACACAAAAATAAGGCATCTGATTTTGGTTCCAAAAACAGATATCTCTATTCTTTTGCAATATATTGACTGAAATTCAGTAAAACATCAGGAAGATCTTCCAGTTTTCTGAAAATACACACATAAAACCCCAATACCAGTATTAAATATTATGAAAAGTGTATTAATGTGTTGACAAATACAGAGATGACACCGGGAATGCCTCTCAATTTTAACCACCAAGGATAAAGTCAAAATATAAAACCACAGTTTTATACAAGGAACAATTCTAAAAAATGCGAAATATTGTGAAACAAAGTCATAAAACTGCTAAGACCCCAAATTGCTGAGTGAGCGGTGTTCCGAATATTGTGAAAATTGTTAAATATTTGGTTCCTTCCAAGTTTCAGGCTTTGTGCTGATGAATAACCTCCCCTTAATGCCAAGTTTAGATCTGAATAATTATGATCACTCCTGAAATTGATACTCCAGAATAACAAAACTTTTAAACAACTGTTTTTATGCATGAATCTTAAATCCATATTTTTTTTCTGGCTCAAGTTGGTGACCTAAGGGTAGGCTTCTGATTACCTGAGTGTAAATTTAAAGTATTCCTAAATTTGCTTATGGAAAATTTAACATAGGTGAACTAAGTCAGAGAGGAGGAATAAACACATGAATACGGCCAATTCACAAAAGTAAATCGAGCAGATTTTCCTTGAAAAAATTAACAATTAACAAAAAGCAATTAACACGTAAATTGATTCTGCCTCGCCAAACAATATAGAAGCTCACAGCAAAATACAAGTAAGTTATTAAAATTCACAAAACCTGGGGGAGACGGGGAAGGGACTTAAAGTTGCTGCTCCAAAAACAAAACGTGTTAAGTCCAGTTCCAAATCTTTGACTTGACAAACTCTAAAACCCCTCCAGAACTAGGAAGAAAGCACCCCATTCCCCACCCTAATAGTGAAAATGCAAATTCTCTCTTTTCCTCACTGCACCCACGCTTACCTGCTAGTAACAACTCCCTACTGCTTTATTAACTTGGTCAGTGGGAGCACGACAAAATTCCTGCCAAACAAGTAGATAACCGGTGCCACCAGGTCCACTGCAGCGGACTCCCCCAAACACCTTCAGCGACAATCAGTCCGCCAGTGCAGTTCCGCACGTGTCTGGCGCTCTGAAACGCCTCGCTCGCTCGACCCAGCCTCGCTGCAGGAATGAGAAACCGCCGGCCTCTAACCTAACCCACGCTGGTAAGAAAAGTGGAAGGGGGGGAAGTTTCAACGTGACCGGTCTGTGTCAACTAATCCGACCGGCTCCACGGGGCCCACCAGAGCTGTCAACAGATGAAGACCACATAAGAGAAAGCAGAGTTGCACCCTGGCGGTGGTTGGAGGCGTGCTTGTGTGGTGTGACAAGAGACCCGAGGGACCACGCTGTCAATCGGTTAAAAAAAAAAATCAACATCCACGGCTTTGAGTCTCCACCTGCTTCCGAACCTCGATCCTGCAGACCCGGTCGGGGAAGGGACCGAACTCCCCACGGGTCGAAATGTGTGGGGGGGAGGGGGCGGGGGAGTGACCACCTCCCGCATCCCAAGGTCTGAGCCCCCCCTAGCCCCGGCTCGGACGCGCCCCGACACTCACGTTTTCTGCACCGGCTTCCGCCGCTTGCGACTGGCGTAGGTGATGTTGGCGCTGCTGCCGTTCATGGTGCCCGGGCCGCGGGCGACGGCGCGCCGAGGGCCGAGTCCCCGCGAGCAGGCGGCGGTGGCGGTGGCAGCAGCGGCGGCCGGCGCCGAGATCCGCGAAGCCGCGCCCCTTCCACCTGCACCCCGGCTCGCTCCGTCTTCCCGGGGCTTCGGGCCGCAGCGCCGCGTTCCCCGAGCCGGGGTGCCGCCGCTCCCCGCGTCCAGGTGCGCGCGCCGCGGGGCGAGGGGCGGAGACGGGCGAGCGAGGCGGCGCAGGTGCCTTCGACCCGGGCGGAGGCGGCGCGGCGCGGCCCCCAGGTGAGGCGGCCGCGCGGAGGAGGAGCCTGGTTCGCTTGTTTGCGAGCCCAGTCTCGGTCGTGGACGACGGCCGCGCCGCGCCCCGTGACCGTCCGCTTCAGCCCTTTGGGTCAGGGAGGCGCCGCCGCGCCGCTCTCGGGAATTCCCCGCTCTCGGCCGCCTCCCGCCCGCGGAGCGCGGGTGCCGGCCGCTGGGTGCCTGGGTGCCACCCGCTTCCGTTCGGACTAGCCACTGCCTGAGGTCTGCGACCGCGCTGCGGGCCGCGTTGTCAGGCCCGAGCCGCGGGTGGACTTCCCCAGCTTGTTCTCACGCCGCGGCGCGCACCGGCTGAAGAGCACCCGCGCCCTCGCCCCGCCGCGCCCCGCCCCGCACCTCGTGGCCCGGCCCAGCGACTCAGGGCCCGCCCCTTTGGGCTTCGCCCCGCCCACAAACGTGGTGTCGTCATGCGTCGCGACACCCTTCGGCCGCCATCTTCGTGAGGTCAATAGGGGGCCTTCGGTGGACACACCTGTCCCCTGGAAGAAAAAAAAAAAAAAGGCGTGACAGGTTGCCTGGAGCCAAACTCTTCTTGCTTAGACCTTCTCACGGACAGACATGCCAAACAAGGAACTTAAACTTTTCCTCTACGAACAACAGCAACTCGACCAACTTTTTTTCTGAAAATTAGTCACCTGGCAGATCACCAATGGGACTCTAGATTTTTCTAGAGGGTTCAGGAGGCCTTATCTGAGTTCAAACTTGAAAGTAAAAGACTTGGAGTTGCTTTGACTCCATCCCACCCCCTTCCCCTTTGGGGCCTTTTCTCCACCTAGAATGATTTTGTTATTCTACAGTAAGACTTCAATAAAATTGAAAGAAATTCGAAAAGAAGCCCTTCAAACACGACAAATTGGAATAGTGATGCTCAGTTGGAAAGACGAGCTGGAAGTGGATTTCGGGATTTCTAGAACAAAATCATAATAAACTTCCTAAAATTCTCTGCATTTCCTGTAAATCATAGGCACCCTTTCACCCCTCCCCAAAAAGAACAATAAAGTTGGTGCAGGGAGAGCAGCTACTAAATGGTTGTGAGAGGGCCTGTGAAAGTTTATGAAAGGGGTAGTGAGAATGGGAATAAGTCTAGATGTTGATCCTTAAAAGATATGGAAACAGGGAATGAGAGGACAATTCTGAATGACTCCAAGCTTGATTTCTGGCTTTCTTTGCTGTAAAGCAAGTAACTGTCACTGTCACTGTCACTGTCCTCCCATTGTACATCAATTTGCTCACAGGCCCAGTAACGTCTCTATTGTGACACTTGTTACTGAACACAGAAGAGTATATTTTCTTATTGAGAGCATTGGGTGTAGATTAAATATTTAGAAGGACATCTCATTCCATATGTATTCCTACGTAGAATTTGTGGTTTTTATTCCCTCCCTCTGTTCCTTATGTTATTATTGCAATAACTGGGGTTTGCACATTAGTTGTAGTGTATAGCTCACATGCTTGGTTGTATCACCAAGTGCATGGCACATCCCATGGGCAGTGCCACCAGAATAACAGTTGGCATGTGGCAAGGCCAAGGGCTTAGAATTCATGCTTAAAAGGCAGATGCTCTAACAGTTCTACCTGGGCCCCTCATATTTGCATTTCAAAGTCTTGAAGTTGTTCCCACCTAGGATGATTTGTTGCCTCTTAATTCAGAATACCAATGAATTGAACCTATGATTTTTCTTTCAATCACAAAGTTTGCTCTTTCATTAGCTCTATAATGCTCCAGGTTAATTTTTAGATTGTCTTCAGCTCCACTATGATTTTTGCCCAAATAACCAATGACATATTGAATTGAGGGGACAGTATTCTTACTTCATCTGCCTTCATATTCTTCAACAACAGTTTTCAGCTCAAATGCAATATATTCAGGTTCCTTCATTAACAATGTATCTTTCACACATTAATTCATTAAATATATAGTTTGTGCATAGTCTCTATGTGCCGAGAACTGTACTAATAATACAAGATAACACTAATGAACAGAAAACAGAAATGTACCCTTCTTTCAGGGAATATTGCAATGGGGAAGTACACAATTCTATATGATCTTCTAGCAGATAAGTTTGACTAGTCACTAAGGGAAAGATAGTTTTTTTCTCCTAAAATGCCGACTGAACTGAAATCTGAAAAATAGGCTTACTCAAGAAGAAAAAGGGTAAGAGTATTCCACGCCAATGAAATGTCATGAGTAATATTCCTTTAGTAAGAAGGATCCTGACAAACATGAGGGCTCAGTAGGAAGAGGCGATATGTAAAAAATGTTGAAGTTTGTGTTTTAAAAACATTACCATGTCTGCAATGTGTGGAATAGATTAAAAAGGGAGAAGCAAGGAGAGTGGGTGGAAATAATACTTCTTAGGAAACCAGTTGAGTAGACCAGCCAAGAGATTATCACTGATATATGCTGGGCAGATCCAGATGACTGGAAGTGAGGTCAGAGATGGAGAGAGTAAATATGTCACCAGATATTGAGAGTTTTCGAAAATGGAATGCTTAAATGGCAGTGAGGAAAAGGGGGTATGTTGAAATTGTAATGATGTTATTAAATGCTGTTGAAAGGACCTAATAACATGAAAATTGAAGGTATCTTTTGGCTTCAGCATTTGGTCTTGGTGACTTCACTGAACATGACTTTTTGAGCTAATGGTTTCCATGAACAAGTGAGCTAAGTCTCAGTGAAGTAGGTAAGAATTGGAATGGAGATTAAAGAGTGAACATCAGCAAAGACATTTTCCTTTTAACTTTTTCATCTTGACTGTGAGTTGGAGTGGTCTAGGATATTGGGTTGGGGGAGAGCTGACAGGTGAAATTTTGACTTTGGGGGTAAATGAGTGATTCTTAAGCAGGAAGAGGAAGGTAGTGCATTCCATATAGGTGGAATTCCTATCTCTTCAATTCTGTAGCTTCTTGAACTCTTGGAATATATTTTGTTTATATTCTATTTCTAAACTTTAGATCACATCATGGCTATATCAAATATATAAATAGAGATAGTTGATACTTCTAAAACTGTACTTAAATGACCAAAGAATGCAAACATGAAGATGTGCCATAACTGGATGTTCTTTTTTTTTTTTTTAAAAAAAAAGGTCTATAAAGGTGCATCAATATACCATGCAAGCTACCGGCTCTAAGTAATTCAAAATTTCAATGTTTGGATTTTTTGAACCCAGACTTTTCAATAACTGGGCTTTTATAAGTTGCTATAATAAAATACAAAGACAGGGGCTGGAGAGATAGTACAACAGATAGAGTGCTTTCCTTGCACACAGCTGAATATGATTTGATCCCTGACACCCCATCGGGTTCCCCCAGCCCAGTTCAGGAGTTATTTCTGAAAGGAGAGTCAGAAGTAAGCCATACGAACTGCTGAGTGGGGCCCCCAAACCAATCAACCAAACAATCAACCAACCAACCAACCAACCAACCAACCAACCAACAGACAAGCCAACAAAAGGATATGTATTATGTTTTAAGCAACTATGTTCCTAGACAAGAGATACATAATGATTTTTGGAACTAACTACATAATAAGTAAAATTTTAGGTATATCTTTAGCTCTTTAATTTGTGGAAAAAATTACTGGAACAAAGAGTGTCATGAAATAAGAACATTTAGGAATCTTTGGTATAGTTGAGGTCTTTCTTTAACAGATGAGAAAAATCAGACCCAATGATATATAGCCTATTCTTTCCAGGCTAGAATTCAGGACTATGATTTTCTATTATAATAAAAATGAATAACCTACCTCATTTTATTCTTTTCAATTGAATCACAGATAGATACACAGTTAAAAAGTTGTTCATGATTTGGTTTCAGTTATATAATGTTCCAACACTTGGGTGTTGGAACGCCATCTCATTTTAAAATGGCTTGAATCCGTTCTTTTTCTTGTTCTTTTTCTGTTTTTGTGGACTTACTAAGCAGTGCCTTGGGGGCTGGATGTTGACAATCAGGCAGGTAGTTCAGTGCTAGGGTCTGATGATCTGGTGTATTGTAGGCCCCGTCAGGACAGGACACCCTATGGTGCTCAGGGGCCTCCAGATCCTCTCCCTCCGCCTCTCACCTTCCCCTTCCCCCGCAGCAATGCTTGGAAGGTTTTGTGGTGCTGAGGAAGGAACATGGATTTGATGCATATAAGGCATGTGATCTAACTTCTGTACTAAATCCCTGGCCCCTAATTCTTCATTTGTTAAAAAGAATCAGTTTACATATTGCTTTCATTTCAGTACTGGAAAGAAATACAGATGTATAGACATGCAGTGACAGTAAAGAAGGTAGGCTAGATGGATAGATTGATAGACATGGTTACAGTTATATTTTAGGAGAATATCCTTAGAAAATGCATGCTGCAGCATTTTAAGTATGAAATATCCTGGTGTCTACAATTTAGAATGGAATCCTAATTTAGAATGCCTGCAATCCTAAATAAAAAAAAATAAAATAAATACATTTATGTATGTAAATGCACACATAATATTTATCCACACACAATAAATGTATACACAAATACTTTTGAAGGATATGCATGTATTTGTTTTATTAATATTCTAACATTCCATATGTTAAAATTTTACCAAAATAAGGGAAAATAGGAAAAAATACATAGCTATTTAACTTTCATAACTGTTTCAGTGGGAGCTGAGATCAAAACTGATATATTAATCACCTTACTCTTACTAAGATCAAACTTTTAGGATGTGTTCTAACCTCTAACATTCCAGGGAACAAAGAGAAGATAAGTGAAAGAAACCACATG